ATATTAACCACTCATACTCCTAATACATGTACAGGTGACCACGGAAAAATTCGCCATCACTGACTACTATCCTCCATAGTTAACGGTTGTCCACAAAAACATTCGCCACTTAATACGATTGGTCAAAAACAAAAGTTCAAATACAAGATATGATCAGTTAGAGTTAACTCTTTCAGTACCGTTCACTTCTATCGCTTTTATGGGTCCTAATAGACCTGTAGTGACATGAATACCACAACATCATTGGTTAAAATAGTTCCGCATGGTTAGGTGTGGCACGAGCGACAAATTTAAAGGTCCAGTGAGACCAGTAGTGTTCTTCGAAAACGAGTAAGAGCTCAACTCTACCGATGTTTTAGCCTAATAGTTGTCCTGTAAGGACACCGAATTACTACACAAAACTGATTCAGTTTTGGTACAACATTCGGTTTTGGTACAATACTAGACCTTGATACAGCATTCGGCATTTATAAGAAGATTCCGTCGTGCATAATAAAGAATAAATCTATCCCGCCCGAAAGCGCCGAATATGCTGGAACAGAGTAACGTGCAAGTAGTGCGTGTCCGTTGCCAAGCGTGACGAGTGTCCGGGCCAAGGTGACAAGTGTCCGCCAGCGTTGTGTGTACTGTGGGATTAGTTAACCAAGAATATCAAATCTAATATCTAAAGTAAACACTCCTAGAAGTTCTACTCAAAACGGCGACGTCGCGGAATACCTGAACCGCGAAGAACTTGGGTCATCTCGGCTACATCGTGATTTAAAATTTCAAATGTTGCCTTTAGATCGCTCTCCCGCTCACGAATAGCTCTCAAATCATTTTTAAGCTCAAATTCATGAAATGAAGCTTTGTGATTTCTGAAGCCGTACTTTGTAGTTGTTCCTGGATCCAAACTTGGTCCACCTGAGCGAGATATATCTCTGCGCTATCTTCAGCCAACTTTGCCAGATCTGCGGCACCCTTGCATTCTGTGACGTGCTCTTTCCAGCGGTGCTCAAACCGTCGCACCATAAAATACAAATCGGACGATATACGCCCGTTTTCCCCTTTCCGTGTTGCCCCTGAAGCTCTAGGAGAATCTTCGTAGCGTATTGGGCATTTATGCTCTCGGCTCAAGCAGCAGCGGATACTCTCGCGTATTGATTGGAGGTAAATTCTGATCTGAGCGCCATCTAAACTGCACTCTAGAAAATGGGTTTTGTGGTCCCGAAGATTTCGTAGCCATTTTTCAGGTTTGCTCCCAATTCTCTTCACAAACGACTGCCAGGATTTAGCTAGTGAATCGGAACTGGATCGTTGAAGGGGATCATATTGATCCTTTTTGTGGGCACGATAGTATCGCATCTGGAAAATATATCAATCAGATATTGGCTCCTACCCACATCAGGAGGAACCGGAACATTGGTTAGATCTGTGCAATCAACCAGCAGCGTTGAAGTCCCAGACCTGCGGTGCCCTACCATCCACGGGTGAAAATCGTCCAGCCAGGGGAAATGTGAGTACGCAAGACTGTGTCGCATCTTTTCACTACACGAAATATCAAGCTCAGGAGCCGTGACGCCAACATCCCGCCGCCTGGATCCGCCCAAAATAAGAGTGCTTGGCAGATCTCCACCTTCTTTTGAATCGTTGCTCCCTTTGATTAAGAGCGAAGTGCTGGATTGATTCCTTCGGGTGAGAAATGTTTGTGGCGATGAGGTATAAGCCTGGGATGGGTTTGGCAGCTTCCGGTTTTCTTGCTGGTTTCCGTCTTTTACGCATTTGATGACCATGTTGTTTTCGTTTCCGGTGTACACTGGAGATGGTTGTGGAGCAGGCGGTTCGCCCCATCGCAGGTCAGGTCTCGTATGTGAGTGCTGGAAGTTGAGCTTCGTGACAGTATTTTGGCCATTACCCCTTTCACGTGTGTCCACCCGTTCGTCCATTGGGTTTTAAACGACGGTAGAGGAGTAACAACCGTCTCGCTGTTTGTTTAGACTGTGTGGTGTTGCCTGCTTTGTGTACATGTGATAACGGTAGGTTTCAGTATGGCGATGTGATTGGTGGGGCGTAACTCAGCAAATTTACAGGGGATGCATTTGTACGAAAGATACTAAAAAATTCCCGCCAAAAATAGTCTAGCAAGCCCAAACATCGACCTCGTGCCCCTGGTAAAACATTCACTAGCTAATACTGAATTTTGTAGTAGTATCTAATACATTGTGGTGCTGTGCACGGGTCGTAGGTATTACAAGCGGCCATTTTAGTGATAGAAAGTAGGGGTTCACGAATTTGAGAAAGAAAACATATACTGGAATTCGATGTTACGAAACTGCTTCAATTTTACTAAACCAGCATTGCTAAGTCGAAGCATGAGGTTTTGGAATTGTTGAGGCCCTCGATGCAACGGCGAGTGAGAATGACGTATTTGTTGAAGGCATTTTTGTCCACGATCGGCCTCAGTAGGCTTGAAGCATTATTTATCAGAAAGCACGCCTCAATCTCTTAGTCCACGTGGAATGTTTGCTTCCTAGGTAAAGCAAATAGAGGTAGTAGCAAACATAGCGCAGAGAAGATAGTTTGGCAGTACCTGTATGTCAATACTCCGTGAAAGTATTCAGTGAGGTATTTATCGCGATCATTGAGGTTTCATGGACATCACTACCACCGGCAGTAACACCATCGGGCCCCGGAGCTTTAGGCAAAGTCACCGCTGCCTGCTTGGCTTTTGCGGCTTTCTCTGAATGCCGCGGTCATGTTAGAATTGCTTAATATACTGAAAACAAGCTCTACCTGCTTACCAATATCGAGACGGTCCAAATAGCGCATTAAATCTTCTTCCCCCACGAAAAAATCGACGCCCCGGGTGTCCTTCCTCGTCTTTCCTGGCATCAAATACGTGTGATGGTCGGACAGGTCTACTGGCCTCTTTGACGTCCACCCCTCCTTTTTTTTCGCTCGGCCCAACGGGCACGAAAAACCCGACATGTGTATCAAAACCGGCGAATTCTCGAATGAACCCAAAGGAGTAGCGCTGGAGCATTGACCCGTAGGATTTTATCGAGTGTGGCATACACAACACTTAAACCATTCAATTTTAATTTTGGGAAAATGGATGTATACGGAACAGGTTAGGTGAGACATGCAGACACCTCATACCCTATTTGACGTAAAATTGTATATACCCATACAAAAATCAAGTAAAAAATTCTTATCGTGTATGGTCCAGGATAAGGATTTTTTAACGTGTCTGATACAGACCGTCGCGTTCAAGGGGTTAAAAGTTACCAAAGCTGTCCTGCTTGTACTTCCAAACTCTGCTCTGCTGTTGTCCTTCTTGTTGTGGGCTTGTGCAAACACTGCTCCCTGCCAATCAAGCCGATCGTCCCATAAACAGCCAATAGGAAGCGTTACTAGACGGTTC